GCAATGTCATCCATAATTTGTTATGATCCACACAGTCAAATGCCTTTGCATAGTCAATAAAACACAGGTGTTTTTTCTGGTGTTGTTTGCTTTCAGCCAAGATCCATCTGACATCAGCAGTGATATCCCGCTTTCCACATCCTCTTCTCACTCCACTTTGAATTTCTGGAAGTGCACTGTTGGTATACTACTGCAACCATTTTTGAATTATCATCAGCAAAATTTAACTTGCTTATGATATTAATATTGTTTCAATAATTTCCACATTCTGTTGGATCAATTTCCTTCAAATGGGCACAAATACCTATATCTTCCAGTCAGTTGGCCAGGTAGCTGCCTTCCACATTTCTTGACATAATGGATTAAGTGCCTCCAGAGCTGCATCTGTTTGTTGAAACATCCCATTGGGTATTCCATCAGTTCCCGGAGGCTTGTTTTTCTCCAGTTCCTTTAGTGCAGCTTGGACTTCTTCCTTCATCCCTATGGGTTCTTGATCATATATTACCTTCTGAAATAGTTGAACAGTGACCAATTCTTTTTGGTACAGTGACTGTATTCCTTCCATCTTTTTTTTTTTTATGCCTCCTGTATTGTCCAATATTTTGCCTGTGGGATCCTTCAGTGTTGAAGGATCCTTCGAGGCTTGAATTTTTCTTCAGTTCTTTCAGCTTCAGAAATGCCAAGTGTGTTCTGCCCTATTGGTTTTCTAATTCCAGGTCTTTGCACATTTCATTATAATACTTTACTTTGTCTTCTCAAGCTGTCTTGAAATCTTATGTTCAGCTCTTTTATTTTGTCATTTCTTTCATTCACTTTAGCTACTCTTTTTTTCAAGAGTAAGTTTCAGAGTCTCTTCTGACATCCATTTTGGTCTTTAATGACTGTTTGCTTCCTTCATATATGAGTTCTTGAGGTCATCCCACAACTCATCTGGTCTCCAGTTATTAGTGTACATTGCATCAATTCTGTTCTTAGATGGTCTCTAAATTCAGATGAGATATAATGAAAGTTATATTTTGGCTCTTATAGACTTGTTTTAATTTTCTTCAGCTTCAACTTGAACTTGCATATGAGCAGTTGATGATCTGTTCCATAGTCAGCTCCTGGCCTTGTTTTGACTAAAGGTACTGAGCTTCACTATCACGTCTTTCCACAAATTTAGTGGATCTAATTCCTGTGTATTCCATTTGGTGAGGTTCACGTGTACAGCCACTGTTTATGTTGTTGAAAAAAGGTATTTGCAATGAATAAGTTATTGGTCTTGCAAAATTCTATCATGCAATCTCCTGCATCATTTCTATCACCAAGGCCATATTTTCTAACTACTGATGCTTCTTTATTTCCAACTTTTGCATTCCAATCACCATTAATGATCAATATATCTTGATTGCATATTTGGTCAATTTCAGACTGCAGAAGGTGGTAAATATCTTCAGTTTCTTCACTTGGGGCATTAGTGGTTGCAGCATAACTGTGGATAATAGCATATTATTAACTACTCCTCCTTATAGGCAGAGTATTATCCTATCACTGACAGCATTTGTACTTCAGAATAGATCTTGAAAAATTCTTTGTGGCAATGAATTCCATGTCATTCCTCTGGAATTTGTCATTCCCAGCAAAGTAGATATATGATCATCTGATTAAAAATGGCCATATCAGTCCATTTGAGCTCACCAATGCCTAGCATATCAATCTTCATGCATTCCATTTCATTTTGACAGCATCCAGTTTTCCTAGATTCATACTTTGTACATTCCACATTCTGATTATTAATGGATGTTTGCAGCTGTTTCTTCCCATTTTGTGTCATGCTTCATCAGCAAATGAAGGTCCCAAAAGCTTTACTACATCCATGTCATTATGATCAACTTTACTTTTTGGAAGCAGATCTTCCCCAGTCATATTTTGAGTTGCCTTCCATCCTGAGGGGCTCATCTTCTGGCAC